TGCAAGTATTTGTTAAATAAGTATCAGGTTAAAGATACTTGGATAATACATAACAAAGGTGAATTAATACCAACTTCACTGTTAATTTCAGGAGTTCCGGTTCTTCCCTCCTAACCCCCTTGGGGTGATATCAAAACAGGACCTGCCGATAGCCACATCCTCTACAGTATAGCGGGTGTTACAGGGAGGGCCTGGGGACCTTATTAAGGACCTGTCAGATATCCAGCCCTGTTTTATTTCTAGCGCTAGGAATGCTAAAAAGTATGTGTCCAGGGAGGGTGACTCAGGGCATTAGAAGGGATGATCCACTGCTCGAGTTCCCAGACAGAACTTTTCAGACAGAATTTCTCGGAAAAGCAAAACCAGTGGTGGGCACTGAGGATTTCATTTTGCAATATTCTGCCTGCCCCAAAGCCTGATCTGCTCAGGAGGCAGACACAGCCCCGTGGATTATGGGACATTTCTCAGGATCTTGAGACAATTAATGATGCTACTTTTGACATGCCCGAGGGTGGCTAAAACTGAAACACAGAGCAATTATGCAACTCAGCCAGTCACGTAGCACCAGCAAGGCTGAGCTGGGTCAGATCTCTGGACTCCAGACTTACGTTTAATCTGATGAGATTCACAGCCATGCTGTTATCCCAGCATAGACTTTGTTTAGTCACAGAAGCTGTTAACATAATTTCAGAGATGTGTGTGGCCAGGGACTCCTGGGTCATCTGGTAAAAATGACGTTACCAGGAAATGAAAGTACTCAAAGCTCTAGAGAAAGTATGTGTCAGGATCAAATAGGAAAACAAAATACAAGTTAAAGCAAGAAGACCAGAACAGGCTTATATTAGTCCATTCTCACACCGCTAATAAAGTAATAAAGACATACCTGAGACTGGGTAATTCATAAAGGAAAGAGGTTTCATCGACTCACAGTTCTGTATGGGTGGGAAGGCCTCAGGAAACTTACAGTCATGGCGGAAGGCGAAGAAGAAGCAGGTACCTTCTTTACAGGGTGACTAGATGGAGTGAGTGCAAGCAAGGGAAATGCCAGATGCTTATAAAACCATCAGATCTCATGAGACTCGGTCACTGAGAGCATCATGGGGGAAACAGCCCCCATGATTCAATTACCTCCACCTGGTCCCACCCTTGACACATTGGGATTACAATTCGAGGTGAGATTTGGGTGGGGACACAGAGCCAAACCATATCAAGGCTGCATATGTAGGCAGCGAAACTGCTGTACTATGAAAAACATAGATATAGGGTAAGAGCATTACTGCTTCACTGATAACTTCTAGAACATGCTGAGGTTGGTGCACCCTCCAGTACTTAAAATAGCATGAATTCAGAAAAAGACAACTTGTAGTTCCACGTTTGTATTTATGTGTATCTAGTTATGTCAGAATTCACATTTATTTTTTTAAAAAAAACTTTATGAAGACTCAAGAGAAGTTGGAAAAATGTCCATCTTTCACTTCCTACTCTTTCTCAGTTTCTTTTTGTTTCCCATTCAGTGAGACAAAGGGTAGTGGCAAAAGAATGGGTTTCGGAGTTGCATAGATCTGGGGTCAAGTACTGACTGTACTGCTAGTGATTTGACGTTGAGCAACTTGCTTTGCCTCTTCGACCTTCAGTTTCCTCATCTATGAAATGGTTGTAATAACACTTGACCTCACAGGACTTAGGTGTAGTTGGTACATGATAGACACTAAGTTAGATTTGAACTGCAGTGTATCTTAGACTCATTTAAAATATATGTTTAAAATGGATTTATCAAAACAGAATAATATTGATGCAAGGATAGACAGAGAGATCAAAGGAATAGAATGAAGAGTTAAGAAATAGAACTGCATATATAAGGTTAATTGATTTTCAACAAAGGTTCCAAGATAATTTTAAACAGGAAAAGGAGACTTTTCAACAAATGATGCTGGAGCAATTGGACATCTGTCTGCAAAACAAAAACAAACAACCCCTCCCAAAAACCCTTGACCCATATCTTACATCGTAGAATAAAATTAACTTGAAATGTATCATAGGTCTAAATGTAAGGCTAAAACCATAAAACTTCTAGAAGAAAGACAGGAGAAAAACCTCATGACTGGGTTAAGCAAATATTTCTTAGGATCCAAACAGCACAACCAAAAACCTTGAAAATAAAATGGACTTCATCAGAATTAGATATGTTTGCTCCTGAAAAGACACTGTTCAGGAAATGGAAATGCTAGTCAAAATTGATTTATTTCTTTAACATTGCTGTCTCCTAAAATTGAGGCCTGGGGTAGATATAATTAATAATTCTTGTGCAGTGCCATCCTCTCCCGACAGAGTGCACTTTCTTGGTGTGCCCCCTCCCCCTCATTCTTTATGCCACTATTCACTGCCATCATTCTCACAATCCCTGTCACAAATGAGGGCTGGGAAGAAGATTGAGCTATGTGTTTTGAAGTTGGAATTCCCTTCTCTTAAATTCCATTCCTGGGAGTGACAGACAGGGGAAGGAGCAGTAATAAAAAGTCTGGAGATGGGCACACACATGATAGGAGGCAACCCGAAGCCCTTGGGAGCAACAGGGTACTCCTAAAAATGACAACGAAAAGCAGACACTGAGCATGCGCATTCGGCCAGACATGATGCTTTCTTTGCATCATTTCATTTAAATATTGTATTGTATTGTATTGTATTGTATTGTATTGTATTGTATTGTATTGTATTGTATTATATTGTATTGTATTCTGTTTCTTTAGAGATATCGCTCTGTCACCCAGGTTGGAGTGTAGTGGCATGTTCAGAGCTCATTGCAGCGTTGAATTCCTGGTCTCAAGTGATCCTCCCACCCTAGTCTCCCAAGTAGCTGGGACTACAGGCACTCACCACCAGGCCTAGTTACTAATTTTTGTATTTTTTTAGTAGAGATGGGGTCTCACTGTGTTGCCCCGGATGGTCTCAAACACCTGGGTTCAAGTGATTCATTGGCCTCAGCCTCTTCAAGCACTGGATTACCAAAATAAGTCACTGCACCCATCCTCATTTAACTCTAGTAGAAATATCCATGCAGGGAGTCCATGGGAATTGGGGCAGCAGGGACTCCAAGCAGGCGGGCTGTTCCTTCCCTGACTCTTGCAATCAGTCCTGCTCTTCCTTTGGCTCTGACTTGCTCTGTCCTTTGGAATTCATTCTAGATGTTTCCCCACGCTCATCTCTTTTCTTGGTTGTATTCCCTTGGGACTATTGGCTCAGGTTTGGGGATTTATTTTGTTTAAAACTTCAGCCTCTGTTTGGCTTCTTGGCACCAGGCTTTGTACTTCTGCTCCTTGAATCTGGTAACCCCTATCCCCACCTCTTCTCTGCCTACTCAAAGCTTCCAGTGTTTGGTGTTGATTAATCTCTGGGTGATGACCAATCTCGTATGTCCTAAGGTACACAATAAACAATACCAGGGTCAACAATCAACAGGCATCTCTTTCTCGGGCCCGTCTTGTTCTAGTGTCCCAGACATTCCAGTGTAGGCTTAGATGAAATGGAAGTGTTCTAGCGCTTGTGATGGACACCTGTTGAAAAGGCCAAGTCTACCATGGCCAAGGTAGCTATGGAGGGTTTTACGTATTAACACAATGGGGGAGGGTATCTTTACTGGTGTAAGCACAGTTCCACTGTGTGGATGGTCGTGATGCTGGAGTGGTCTATGATTGGTACCTCCAGTGCCAGCTGGTGATTTACGGGCAAGCACAGGTGAATAGTCAAGTGGGAAAAACAGCAGCATTCAGTTAATCTCCCTATTTTTCCTCCAGGTGTCTTCTTAGAATCAGGATCAGGTGCCAACCCAGGGCGGTTCCTGGAGCAGCAGCGAAAATTCCAGTGCCTAAGCTATATATGTTCCAGCAGGTCAGGTGGATGTCGCATGCGTCAGTTTGACTACAGCAGAACCACGAGAGATGTTTCCTTTAGAGTCTGGCTGTAATCCACAGGCCACGGACAACTGGAGGGAGCGGATCCCTCCCAGTTTCCTTCCACTTAGCATGAAAGCCTCAGAGTAAGCAGCCCAGGGAGCAGAGAGACTGACATTAAAGCCTGCAATTCCTCTTCCAATTTTGATCACAGCAGCCATTTAAACACAGGGTCTACCGAGGTTTAAAAAACTTGAACTGTGCTTAGTTGCACTCTGAAATAGTCCTGCTCCTCCCCTGACCTGCCAGAGACAGCAAAGAGATGTGTCAATAGTCTCCGCATGAGGCTTCAGAGGAGCAGCTGTGTATGGCAGGACGGAACAAAACTGGTCCATCGTATCTTTTACCACAACAAGTTCCCACTTCATGCAGACCACTGAAAAGAACCTTGGATCTTTTAAAAAAATAATTATTATAAACATAGGTTTGTGACCTTGATATGGAAGGCAGGTAGAATCTTTGCTTTTAGAGGGCTAAGCTACACCAACCAGCCTTCAATCTTAGAAGGGCTAAGCTGAAAGGGACTCAAAAGGTCATGTGGTTTATATAATCCTACCTGCAGACGACACCCAGGCACAATGATTTTACAGACGAGGAATGTGAGGTGCGGAAAGGTTGAGGAAGGATTTATCATATTTGCATAAGGAGTGGAAGAACTGAAACCGAAGCCCCAGTTTCTTGACTATAAATCCTGCACTTGCTTCCAACTGTCTTTCATCCAGATTATGGGATTCAGCTGCCTCTGAAAACCTGTAGCCCAGTAACGGTTCTTCCCAAGAGCTGGATGAAGCATGAGCTAATTTTCAGTGAGAGTGGACTTTGGGGTAACGGTTCCAACCCAGCGCATTCCTTTCTCCTCTTTTCAGGCATCATCACGGCCACCTGAAAACCCTGGCTGGGCGCTGGGGCGTGAGGAGCAGTTCTCACTTCCCAGTCTTTTTCTCTTTTTCACAGCTGCAAAGTTCAGGGAGTTGAACTGCAGTGCTTTCAGTTCACTGCTCACTCTGCCACGATCAACCTCTGTTGTAAATTTTCCTCTCAGAGCACGTGACGATGCACTTCTTGACTATATATCCCAACTGCAGCGGCTGAGTTGTCAGAGCTCAGAGCCGGACAGAGCAGAAGAACCCTCTTGGACTGGACGATCTGGGAATTCAAAACTTGGGACAAACTGTCAGCCTTGGTAAGTGAGCAAGGCTACACTTTGCTTCAGAAACATTTGAAAGATGGGCATTTTTGCCAATGAATAGATGAATTTTTTTTTCCTTTATTTTCTTTCTGCTTTTCTGTGTTCTAAGGAAACACTGTTTTGAATTTAAAATAGTTTGATTTTGGAAACACAATGTAAACTCTGTTTCTGCTCTGTTAAAATGCGTTTCCTAATTTTAAAGCTATTATTTACTGATGCTCCTGTCTTACATTGATGTAAAAAAAAAAATCAAAGTAATACTGCTCACTACAAACAGGACAGATGTGTACACTAAAAAAAAAAGAAAAAAGAAAAAAAAAGAGTCCTTCTTACTTTTCCCAGTGAACCCTCCCCGGGCTTCTCTCCCGTGCACTCCAAGCCCTCATAGCTCACTCCTGTCAGCTGTTTGGCGAAGCCTCTGATGCTATTTCTTTCATGCACTTTTAAGCTTTTTTGGTATTGCAGTTCCACAAACTTTGTGCTCCCCCTCCTCCCTGTGCCGGGAACCTGGGAGACAGCTCTAACCTGCAGCTTTTTCCCCAGCCCCTGCTGTGCAGGCAGCCTCAATGCTGAAGATGGAGCCTCTGAACAGCACGCACCCCGGCACCGCAGCCTCCAGCAGCCCCCTGGAGTCCCGTGCGCCCGGCGGCGGCAACGGCAACGGCAACGAGTACTTCTACATTCTGGTTGTCATGTCCTTCTATGGCATTTTCTTGATCGGAATCATGCTGGGCTACATGAAATCCAAGAGGCGAGAGAAGAAGTCCAGCCTCCTGCTGCTGTACAAAGACGAGGAGCGGCTCTGGGGGGAGGCCATGAAGCCGCTGCCCGTGGTGTCAGGCCTGAGGTCGGTGCAGGTGCCCCTGATGCTGAACATGCTGCAGGAGAGCGTGGCGCCCGCGCTGTCCTGCACCCTCTGCTCCATGGAAGGGGACAGCGTGAGCTCCGAGTCCTCCTCCCCGGACGTGCACCTCACCATTCAGGAGGAGGGGGCAGACGATGAGCTGGAGGAGACCTCGGAGACGCCCCTCAACGAAAGCAGTGAAGGGTCCTCGGAGAATATCCATCAGAATTCCTAGCACCCCCGGGACCCCTGCCGGAGGCTCCATCAGCCAGCACCCTTAGAGAGAGGAAAGACAGTTTTCAAGTGTCTGGTTTCACTTTCGCAGTGCGGCTGCCACTTTGAAAAGACCCTCGGCAAGCCCCTAATTTGGGGTGGGGTGGGGGACTAGGCTCAGCCGGAGTCAGCAGCCTCGAGGAGTCGGGGAGGTGCCTGTGGTTTGCACCCACCACTGAAAAAGCCGCGGAGATGTAGAGAGTGTACATTGACTTTGGGGCCTGGGTGTTGGGGTTCTGTTCAGAATTTGGCGGGATGATATGCTTGCCATTTTCTCACAGGATGCCCTGGGTAGCTCCTGCAGGGTCTGCCTCTTCCCAGGGCTGCCAAATGCTTAGGACATGCTGAGGGACTAGTTGTGATTTGCTATTTGCCTAGAGCTTTGTCCTTCTAGATCTGATTGACTGTAAGTATCTCTACTGTGTACCTGTGACATTCCTTCACGGTGGGTTACAAGCTTCTTTTGGATTAGAGAAGGATTTTTGGTGGAAGAAGGCTGGAGATCTGAACCCAGCCCATTTGCACACTGTAAGAAAAAAAAAAAGTAACTTTTAAACCTGTTAACATTGCTGGGGTTATAAGAGATGATCTGCTATTTTGACCTTTCGTCTCACTTATGACCTTGAACTCTGACCTGTGGCCATGCAGCATCACATGCTGGCATGACGTTCTTTGGATCAGAAGAGCTTCCCCAGAATCTAACCTGCACTCCGGGTGGTGGTTCAGGGGACTCTTCCTGATCTTTCTAGAAGGGGTAAGTGGGGTTGAACAAGGCCAAGCCGTTAGCTCTGCTGCTGCTCAGTTTCCCAGCCTAGTTTTCTGAGCTGGGAGAGGACATAATGTGGTATTTCGTCACGTAGCTGAGACCTAGAAGGGCATACTCAGGCGGAGATTGCACAAAGCTGGGCTCCAAGTTCTGTGCTTCCTGATGCCGAGCCCTGACACTCATTTGCTGTGTGGTCCTGGGTATGTCATCAAGAAGCTCGCTGTCTGCATGAGGTTCCTGACGATCTCCATCCCCAGGGGGCTGGGAGGATGTCTTTAGATTTTAGGACTCTGTGATAAATACTCCACAGCCTGGTGTGAGGAAGCTTGGACCAAATGCTTCCCCTTTGGCCGGTTAGTCTGAACAAGGATACGCTGATTTAAAGGAGCAGTTGGAGATTCAGAACACATATAACTGGGGAATTCAGGGCAAGCTACCAACCAGCCCTGCTGTAGTTTTCCCAGGATTGAAGGAAAGAAGCAGACACCACATTCTCCTCTGCAAAGTCCTCTGGAGAATGTGTGATGTTAACACTTCCAGCTAAAGGAAAGCAAAGTCTAAAGGAAAACACACAGGAATGCTTCCAATATCTCCATTTATTCCTGTGGTCAACAGTTTTGCAGATCCATTAGGCCCTTAAAGACAAGGAGGAAGTAAAAGGTCAAATTTAATTCTATTTAAAAACCTTTTTTTTTTTTTTTTTTTTAAGACAGAGGCTTGCTCTGTTGCCCAGGCTGGAGTGCAGTGACGTGATCTTGGCTCACTGCAACCTCCACCTCCTGGGTTCCAGCGATTCTCCTGCCTCAGCCTCCTGAGTAGCTGGAATTACAGGTACCTGACACCATGACTGGCTAATTTTTTATTTTTTAGTAGAGATGGGGTTTTGCCATTTTGGCCAGGCTGGTCTCGAACTCCTGGCCTCAAATGATCCTCCCACCTCGGTCTACCAAAGTTCTGGGATTACAAGCGTGAGCCACCGCACCCAGCCAGTTTTTTTTGTTTTTTGTTTTTTGTTTTTAAGAAAAATACTCTTTATGAATTGGAGGCACAGCAATAACTGCTGTTTCCATGGAAGGGTTAACAGTGTAGGAGCTGGTTTATCAGTCCGCTTTGACATACAGCTAAAGGAAATTTATGTTTTGGGGAAAAAGGCCTTCCGTTCACTTTAAAATTCAGTGTGGATTTACGCCAAAGGGGGCTGTTTAAGTTGAAAGAAGCCAAGTTAAGTTTGGCCTCTTGCCTGGAATCACTTGAATTCTGAAATTTCACTGCGACGGACATGTGCCTTGTCACATTTTCCATTGCTTAATCCTGAAGTTTGGTGCAAGTCTCTCTGCACCTATTAAAAAGTGATGTATATACTTCCTTCTTATTCTATTGAGTTGTATAGAATTGTCTTTTGTATTTAACACTTTGTAATTTTCACAATATTTTTTAATTTAAATAAATAAACACATTTTTTTCCCTCCTGGGAAGTCATGAATTATTTATTTGATTCTTCAATATAATTCTTAGTTTCCAAGACATCACAGATACATTTCCCAAACCATCTCTGGATTTTGCTCCTCTCCCAAGTCAGTATCTCCTGAGGGCATATCTTATTTCTGTCTGAACCATGGGGTGAATGAGGCTTGGCTTTTCATCCTTTGAAATGCTTTGTAATGAATGGAAAACAAGCTGCAGATGGTCTTACACGGACTTCTCTGTGTAAATATGGCAGCCCTGGAGGCTTTGGACTTTGCATATGCAGTGACAGCGCAATTGCTGCTAAGATATTGCTCCAAGCTTGGTTGCAAGAAAACGTTTGACCTGCGTGTTGGCTTGGCAAATATTATCCACATGTGTGGCCCAGCAGCACCTGCGAATGGGCAAAGAGTTGCTGTATGAACAGCAACACAAACTTACCAACACAGTGAAGCACAAAGTGTGGGGTTGGGGTTGACTCTCCTCCCTCTCCTGGTCTCCTTCAGACTGGGACTGATTCCAGCACCTCCCACTCTGTCTGTCTGTATCTCTTGCCCACAGGCTGAGGCCGTGGCCAGCCTGCGGCAGCCTCTTCTTCATAATTTCATTTGCATGACCTGTTTTTGAATCCAGCAAATGGTAGGAAGCATCCTTACTTTTATGTTTCTCTGTTTTCTGTGAGATTGACTCTTCTGTTTCAAGTAAACGTTTCCATTCAGTTCACTAGTAACTGTCTACCTAAAGAATTTACCTGGTAACAGTACAGTGGAGCCTGGATCCTTCCCATACCATATCGAGGGCCCTGATCCACCAGTTGGTACTTTGATGATGTAAGACGAGAAGATTATTTTAAAAGGCAAGAGAGCCTTTCCATTTATCCCAGTTTAATGTCATCCTTCATAAGGAAATGGTTAAGAATTTTTTTATTTTTTTAAGCCATGGGCGGAAGGAGAGGGAATTCTAAACTCTAATTGTCCTAAAAATATGCAGAGTACACTTTGTCGTTTTAATGGGATATTTGTTTTCTTTAAAAGAAAGAAAAAAAAAAGAACTTCTAAGCAGAACCTAAGGCCCAAGGGGTTTAGTCTGTGTGGATTTACTCATGCATGTGAAAAACTGAGAAGAGAATTTGGCTCTGTTCACCTAAGATATTAAAAACATATTTTGAAAGCACTTAAATGTTAGGGATGAGGTAAATAGATCATCCTGCCTGCTCCACACTGTTCTAATTACACCTTTGTACGTCAGAGTCAGGCAGGGATGTTACACAGTAAAAGATTTCTTTCACGAGTAAAATCATGGGATCAAATCTACCGGGAAAGGCTGAAGTCAAGCCAAGGAATGAATGCTCTTGGTTCATGATTCTGGTTGGAAAGTGGAAGCCCTGGTGCCTTTCAGAGCTGCGACTGGAGGGTTTCATGGTCAGATATGCACTTCTAGGGCTCAGCTAAACAAGGGTAATTTATCATCCTGAAAAATGCTGCTCTTACCATAGACATTGTGGAACAAACAGAACATGGAGCTTAAAATGTAACTTAAGCTCCAGCTTCAGGCAGAGCATACCTTTGCCTCGTCATGCCCTTAGAGTCTGCACACTGTGCTGAAGAAAATCACAGCACGTATCATGGGTCATGCGACCAGAGGCAGAGCCTAGGGCTGGAGGGAGACCTGTCAGCCAGTTGGCCGGGATGGTGGCTCAGGCTGCGCCTGAAACGCAGGGAGGTAGGAAGTAAATAGTGGTCAGTGGAGCCTCAGCCTTGTTACGTCTGGCTTTCTAGCCTAACTCTGCTACCATGTTGCTTGTAGCTCTGGGGAAGCTGCCTAACCTTTCTGAGCTCTCTCTTTCAACATGAGACAGCATGCTGGCTTTTCTCTTTGGAGTTTTTCAAAAGAACGGTGGAACGTCCTGAGAAATACTCAAAGAAAAGCAGATTCAGGCTTCTACTCTAAGAATGTGTCCTGGGCATGCATCTGCAAATAAAGTCCCAAACATCCTCTTCTATGGACGCTTTCCTCAGGAGACTGCAGTGTGCTCAGAAAAAGTGCACGCTTTGCCAAAGGAGAAGGGTCACAAGAGGGAAAAACCACTGTTAAATTCAGCCTTCCCCCGTTTCTGAAATGTTTCCTCCCACACAGGAAGGAACAGTTTGAGATGTGTGCCGTTACCATGGAGATAACCAGCTAAGGTCACTCAATGGCAGGAGTCTATGGCCCACTAGCATGGATCATCAGGGCCAGTCTCGGAAGCTGAGGTTTGGTCCTCGGCTCAGAAGATGAGCTTTGAGTCCACGGCAGCCTCTATTCATGGGTAGGGGAGGGGGTGCAGGGACATGGCTGTTCTCCTTTTGTCTTGCCCAAGCCTGTCCTCTCTTCACGCATCCCCCTTGCATCATTTGCAATCCTTTCCTTGCGCTTGCCCTGTCGCATTCAACGCAGGGCTAAGCTCTTGTTCTGCTGTTCCTATGAATTTATTTTCCTGCCTTGAATTCTCTTGCTAAGAAACGTGATTGAAAGATCCTTCACATCAATAACTATACCTCTTTCCTGTTTTAAATAGTTTTCCTTTGCCTGTCCTCTCTTTATCTAGCCTCTCTCCCTTTCTTCCTCTCTTTCATCCTACCATTACCCAAAAGGAACAAAAAGGATAGTAACCACAGTGCATGATACTTATTCAGCACTTTTGACATGCACACACACCTTTGCAACCCTGTGCTTTGAGCTTCTCCTTTGTTCTAGGCACTTCTCTAGGTGCTAGGGAAAATGTAACACCTTTCTGGGGATGGTATATTTTTCCCAGCACTTTATGGAGTAGCATTATATATACACACACATATATGTGTGTGTGTGCATGCGCACGCATGTGTATATATATACACACACACATATAGATACACACACATAAATATATATTTTTTTGCTCCATGACAGACACTTTCCCTTTGATTATCTGATTTAATCTTCCCAAGGAAACTGTGAGATAGATCTACAATACTCTTAATCCAGGTAAGAAAGTTGAGGCTCCTCAAGGATTTGAGGGGAAGATGGGAGGAGGGTGAGGGATAAAAGACTACAAATAAGGTGCAGTGTCTACTGCTAGGGTGACGAGTGCACCAAAATCTCACAAATCACCACTAAAGAGCTTACTCATGTAACCAAACACCACCTGTTCCCCAATAACGTATGGAAAAATAAGAAAATAATAAATAATAAATAAAATAGGAGTGATTAAATAAAAGAAAGTTGAGGCTCAAGGAAGTCAATTGCTGGTCAGTGAAATAAAAGATCAGGATTCAAATGC